TACTTATATTAGGGAGGGGTATTACGACTATCAAACTCAACTGCCTTATGAATGGGAATAACTTGAAATTTCGGAAAAAATACATCTCTTCGTTTAACACCCTGTAGTATAATGCTATATACAAAATATATTCCCAAAATTAGACATAAGAGTCAAAGAATCAGCTATTCAGAATTTCCAAAGATTTTCAAAATCGATTCAGTAATTTTCTAATAACGAGCTTTCAAATATTTTTCAAAAAACTATGTGCGTCGATTTTTATGACGAGCAGTTTATTTTTTTAAGAGGATAAAACAACATTTTTAATTTTGATATTTAATAAAAGTTCACGATTTTCTTATTTTCGCTTCCACGGGGGGGGGTCTAAAATGTTTAAATGTTTGCTATATTAAGCCTGGTTTTAACAGAAAAATAATTCAATTTAAGATGGTAAGGTCATTGAGTAAAGAATGGTAAGGTTATTTCTTACTAATCTAATCCATTTCGGGAGAATCTAACCTATGTATTTTGTGTAAACGGTTTTAATAATAAGAAAAATATTTCGATTGTAATTTATTTCAAACTTTAAGTTTTAGATACATGAAGTAGGCACTCTCTTTAAAATATTGTTTTTAATTTCAAACTCATTCAATGAAAAAAATTTACATTTGACCCCAGTTTTAAAACTAAAGCTATACCTGTAGGGTAGACGTGCACTTATACGAGGGTTGCCTTTTATATTTCGGGAATGGCCGAACCTGCTGATGCTATCGCACAACGGATGTCTGTATCGTTAAGTTCGACCTTTTAGACGGTTTTCTTACTTAAAACGTTTTGACGTGCGGGCGCAATTGGTATCATTAACGGTCACTTGAAAAATTAATGTCGCCAAAAAAATGGAATTGACACGTGAACATTTTCGTGCTATAATTTTTACAACTTTAAACGTGGATTATCCCAACAATAATGCATCGATGAACTTAATTTGACTTATGGCGACAAAGTGCCATAAAAAACAAGTGAATATCGGTGGTGTTCCGAATTCAATCGTGGCCGTGGTTCGCTCACCGACGAATTTCGTGAAGGTCGTCCAAAATCAGTCGTTCTCGCAAAAAACATTGATTCTGTGCATGAACTGGTACTGCAAGATCGTCATGTGACATATCGTGTGATTGGGTCATCCTTGGGCATTAGTGGGACCAGCATACATTCAATATTAAATGAACATTTGGCCGTCAGAAAAAATTGTTACCGTTGGATCCCACATAATTTGACGATCGATCAAAAAAAGGCTCGTGTCTAGTGGTCAAAAGAAATGCTTAAAAAATACGATGGCGGTGCTTCAAAACATGTTGATGACATTGTAACAGGTGACGAATCATGGATCTATGCGTATGAACCTGAAAGTAAACAGCAGTCGACTGTGTGGGTCTTTAGAAGCGGTTGATGCGTTCAAAATGCATGTTTTGGAGGTGCCTCAATCGGAGTGAAAAAAATGCTTCGAAAATTGGTTTAAGTGCATGCAAAAGTGTGTCGATCTTTATGGAGAATATTTTAAAAAACAATAAAGCTATATACGATGATTAATTGTTGTTTGTTTTCTTTATTCCCGAAATATAAAAGGCAACCCTCGTATATAAAGACCGGATTTTAAGCATGATACTTATTGCTGAATTTTATAAGCAACCAAAAGCTAATTAATTTGTACACGAATTTACGCAAAACTAAGTAAATTTGCAGTGTTTTTTTATGCTTTTTTTGCTTTTTTTAAGGTTTTATGCTTTTTTTCGATTTCTTGCTTATTTAAACTTTTTTCCATATTTTTATACATTTTTTTAAATCATATAAAATATATGAAAAAAGGAACATCCGGCAACAGCACCAGGCATCGCGGGAATCCCCGGGTAATTCCCCGAAGTTTTATGCCCTGCTTTTTAATGTTTAGTTAAGATACACCATGATACAAAGATATATCATGAAGATACACGATACGTTACGGGGTTCTATTATTGTGCTTGCGCGGTACGTTATTTAGACAATGCCAAAACAAAAGCCAACCATTGAAGAGTGGATAAGTGGTCACAAGGAACTAAAAATTAACAATAAAAAGGTCTTTTGTCAAGCATGTTCTAAAACTGTAAGTAAAATTATAGTATTTATTTATTGTTAAAAATTACTGATTTTATTTTATGGTTTTGAAGAGATTTCCTTTTTGACTTAAATTAAATTACTTTAAGGTATAAATGAAAATTTTAAGGATGAAATAAAATAAATTGAATAAAATACAACTTTTAATTTCTAAAATATTATTCGACTTTACATTCTACTTTCTCAGCCCAATACTGTAATGGTTTCCTTTCAATAAAAAGCCGCCTAGATGTTGTTTTTTTATTTTAATCAATCTAGTATGGGATTATTTTTTTTAAATATAATCTTATACAGGATTGCAAAATTAAGCGGGCAGAAAAAAATTACCTAATCAAATTTTAACCTAATTTTTTTCTTGAACCTCTTAATGAAACCATTTTTTATTAGAAATATAGCTTGATTTTTTAAGAACATATTTAACCCATTTCTAAATAATATATAGAATTTATTTATGTCTTATACAGGGTGGTCATAAAGTATGTAATAAATTTATTCAAAATTAAGAGCATAAAAAAGAGTTAAAAAAAATGCTCGAACACGTCGAATTTTTTTTAATGGATGGTAGTATTTTTTATCTTGGAATAAAAGATCCTTTCGTTCCGATTCAAAAAATACCACATTGATGGGTTCTGAAGATATGAATGTTTAAACCTTCCATGAGAACAGTGTTTACATTTTATTGGGATTTAAATTTAAAATGAAATCATTTGATTGCTTTGTTTTATGGGAGGTTTAAAAATTCATATCTCGAGAACCGTTTAAGATAAACCCATCAAAGAATCTTTGATTTTAAGATAAAAAATGCAGGGTGATCCATTAAAAAAAACTGCCACGCTCTTTTGGGACACCCTATATACCAAAATATCTATTTATACTGTCTGTAAAGTAAGTAGCAGAATATGATAGTGGAATATTTTTAATTTATTGCAGATCATCTGCAAGAAAAAGTACGATGTAACTCAACATTTACAAACAGAACGCCATAAGGAGCTCTTGAATAAGTTAAAAGAAAATAAAAATAGACAACAGACTATTTTGACTTCAATAGCTTCAACTGTTTAAATAAACAAAAACAATTTAATTTTGACTTGTGTAGTGCTATGGTTAAATCGGATATTCCATTAAATAAATTACAGAATAGCTCTTTTAGACAATTTCTACAGAAATATTGCAAAAAAAACATTCCAGATGAAAGTACTCTTCGTAAAAATTATGTTTCTCCAGTTTATGACGAAACAATGCAGCAAATTAAAAAGAAGATAGCAAATAATTATATATGGTTTGCTGTAGATGAAACAACTGACACATGTATATAGCCAACTTAATTATAGGAGTCTTTAATGAAGATATCGTCACAGATTTTTAATAAGTTCCAAAGAATTAACAAAAACGAATAAAAACACTGTTTCTAGATTTGTTCTTGAGGAATTAAACAAGTTTTTTTGCCCGAGGTGGTTCCGAATGAAAAAATTCTATTGATGCTTTCGGATGCTGCAGCATACATGATAAAAGCTGCATCAAATTTAAAGGTTTTTTACTATAATTTAATACATTGTATCTGCTTAGCTCATGGGCTTAACCGCATAGCAGAAACTATAAGATTGCATTATCCGTTGGTCAACACATTAATAAAAAATGGCAAAAAAATATTCATAAAAGCTCCATTGAGAGTACAATTTTTTAAAGAGAGATTGCCTGATGTTCCATTACCTCCAGAACCAATTGTAACAAGATGGGGAACTTGGCTAGATGCTGCCATGTACTATGCCGATAATTTTACAGAATTTAAGAGATTGTTACTTGAATTTGAAGGCACAGAAAGCAAAGCAGTTCAAGAATGTCAGGAAGTTGTAAAAATACCTGAACTTGCACACAATTTAGCTTTTATTAAAAGTCATTTTAAATTTGTAAGTCAGAGTATTCAGCTATTGGAAAAACAACAGCTACCTTTTTTGGAATCCGTCAATCTTATTAAAAGTTTTGAAGCTGCAGTAAATAGGTACTATTCCAGGATCTATTGGTCAAACAATTAAAGAAAAATTGGTCCAGACTCTCTCGAAAAATTCAGGGTTCCAAACATTGAAAAAAATATCTATTTTAATTGGTGGGCAAGATTCCGATTTTGAAATGGATCCAGCCATTATCCCGAAATTTAAATATGCACCAATAACCAGTGTGGATGTGGAGCGAAGATTTTCTGCATACAAAAACATTTTAACAGACATAAGACATAATTTTACTATAGAAAATTTGGAGAAACATCTAGTTATACATTCCTTTAGGTCTTAATAATAGATATAATGTAAAAATAATAAAATGTATCATTTAAATAATAAACACCAATATTAAGATTATTACAACTTTTTTGCCGCTATATATTAATTATTTTTAATTAACTTGCTTATTTGGTGCTTTTTTGGCAAATTTCATGCTTTTTAAGAGCTTTTTATTTAATATTTTGATACTTTTTTAAGCACTTTTTTTTTTAAAAATTGTGCTTATTTATCCGGTCTCTACTTATATATATATATATATATATATATATATATATATATATATATACTATAGTCGTAGAATATGCACACAAAATTTAAATTTATTAAAGGTTGTAGTGTTACACAGTAGTACACATAGTAATAGTGTATAGTATAGGATTCATAAAAAGATCACCAAAAGTACAAGCACAAAAATGTTATAAAAAGAACAATTTTGTGCACAAATACATGTATTTGTATAAATTTACTTAATTTTTTAAGGTGGTCCACATCGATATCTGAAAGAGGCCACCAAAAGTACAAGCACAAAAATGTTATAAAAAGAACAATTTTGTGCACAAATACATGTATTTGTATAAATTTACTTAATTTTTTAAGGTGGTCCACATCGATATCTGAAAGAGGCCAAACAAGAAGAAACATAAAAAAAATGTTGCTGTATCTTTTGTATGGCTGGGGAGTTCCGCTTTTCCTTATAATTTTGATTTTAATATTCAATCAAACGAATGCTCTTCCTCTTGCAATACATCCATTTATCGGTTTTCGAAAATGTTACCTGGATAATACACGTAAGAAAACAATTGTTTTATTGCATTATTATTAGATATGATTATTATTATAAAACTGTTTAGCGAGAAAATCGATTTAAAGAGGTAGTGTCTGAAAACAGTTTGCAAAAACTTTCTGCTATAATCTGTGATTTCAGACAAAAAGGTGCTAAAAAAATAATATAAATTTTCTTATTTTAGTACCAGACAATTACGCCAGTATAGTGTTCAAAGAAGTTCCCCACTTAATGTTGGAAATAATCAACACAGTTCTATTTATCAAGACAATAATATATTGTATTAAAGTTAAAAACGAAATTAATAGAATGAACGATACAAGCGCTTCTATTAGAAGTAGGATGACTAAAGATGAGTAATGTTACCTGTTTAACCTATTACCGGTATTCTATAGTTAGCATTTTTAGGTTAAACCTGATCACAAAACTGTCGGTCATCATGGGATTATTTTTTGTGTTCGAAGTCATATCGGCTTACTTTAATATGTCAAAACATCCGGTAACTAAATACATAGAAGTGGTTTGGGATACAATAAACTGTTTACAAGGTATGTACAACACATACAGCCCGAAAATAATTGTAGATCTTTGGTGGTACAAACATGCAGCAAAATTCACGGGGTTGCCGAGAAATTTAATTTAATTTAATTGATAAGTACTATACGTATTATCTTATTAACTGTTGAAAATGTCCGCCGTTCAACTCCATGCAATAGTACAGCAAATGTTTAAAGTATTCCTGGATATTGTGCAGAATATCGGTTGTAATTTCGTCACCCTAATATAACAAGGTTGTATGTTAAAAAACCAAAAAATTTGAGTTTATGCTTCTACAAGGTTTTATGCAATCCACCCTTGACATACAACTTGAAAATAACTCTGTATACATAGAATATACATTCTATAGAATTATTTTTAAGTGGTATGTGAAGCGTGGGCCACGTAGAAACATAGACTTAAATGTTTCGTTTTTTTTTTTAACATACAACCTTGTTATATTAGGGTGACGATTTGTTGGCATTTATTATAATAACATAATAACATTTAAGTGATGGGGTCCGTAAATCTTTTAAGGATTCAGGCTGGGTGGCATAAATTTTGGATTTCAGATGTCCCCACAAAAATAAATCAAGGGGAAATAAATCCGGTGATCTCGCGGGCCATTCGATAGCACCCCTTTTCCCAATCCATCAGGAAACGTTTCATCCAGAAAGTAATACTTTTTAATGGGGAGAAGCTTCGTCTTGCTGAAATATCGGATTTTCTTCAAGGTAACGTTGGTTTTGATCAGCGCTGGGTTGACGGTGTTCTCCAACAAGTCTAAGTAAGAATGTCCATTTAAATTTCCTGGTAAGAAAAATGGTCCAATTATGTCCATTACCAAAAATACTAGCCCAAACGTTTAATTTCTGAGGATGTTAAGTATGAACCTCATGGAAGATCCTTGGATTCGTGTCGTATCAATAACGACAATTATGACAATTGACAATGCCATTGAGAAAAAATTAACACTTTTCTGAGAAGCAAAGATTTAAAAGGTCTTTGTGAGTATTTATAATTATTTCGGACATTATTTCACAAAATTGTATACGTTGGTCATTATCATCTTCATGCAATTCTTGAAGACATTAAATTTTATATGGTTGCCATTTATTTTGTTTCAAAATTCTCTGTACGGTGGCCAGCGAAACTTAGCGTTACTTTAGAAAGTTTTCTGGTACTTAATGTAGGGTCCAAAATAATTTTACTCAGTACAGCTACTTCTACTGCCTTATTTCTCACTGGATTTTCAATATCTGGTTTTTATTTAACACTGAACCAGTTTGCCGAAATTTTGCTACTAATTCTAGGATGTAACCATGATGTACGTGTCTATTGACATGCCTCTCATTAAACAAAGTTGCCGTTACTCTTTCACATTAATTGTTTATAAAATACAATTCAATAATTTCCACTCTCTCCGCAATATTATAAACCATTTTTTATCGAATCAAAAAAATACCAGCATAGAAATAACAATTGTTTAAACTATCCACATCAACTACTTTACTGAAGAAATTGGTGATCTTAGCCTGATATTTTGACTTGTATGACGCACGCGACTGCTTTCTTCTTCTCTTTTAATTCACTCTCAAGAGAGAATTAAAAGTTAGAGAAGAAGAAAGCAGTCGCGTGCGTCATACAAGTCAAAATATCAGGCTAAGATCACCAAAGATACCATTAAATTTAAAAATGTTTGTTTACAAATGTGTTCAAAGGACACCTGAGGTTTTTAACGGATTTAAATTTTAATGCAATTAAATGTATAAAAATGTATAGTAGGGTAAGCCAAAAAAACTAACCTATTGAATTTATGGGTTAAAATGAACCTATATACCGAGAAAAAAATGTCCCTGCAAGGGAAAAGGAAATTTTATGCTCTACAAGAATCCGTGACGTAAAATTTTTTATCGTAAACGGTTCAAAAGTTATGGTATTTTTAATGAAAGAAGATTTTTTTACGTGTTATTTAAATGGGAAACTTTAAATGCTCACCGACACCTTTTAAAATTGAGCTAAAAATCCTGCCTTGCAGGGACATTTTTTTCTCGGTATATAGGTTCATTTTAACCCATAAATTCAATAGGTTAGTTTTTTTGGCTCACCCTAATGTATAGTGAAAACCGCCAAAACTAACCGTTTTGTGACTAAAAATTACTAATTTAGTTTTGTCGATTATGTTATTACTACATGTACAGGGAGGTCCAAGTAAAATACGCCATATACTTATTTAAGAAACTACTTGAATTACAAAAAATTTGTGCAATTTATGAATTCTTTTAGCGAATTTATACATTAAAAAAAATACTTAAACTTTAATCTATAGATAATGACCTTAAAAAGTATAAACATTTTCTTAATTAATATATTTATTTATAAAGTATAGTTTGTAGAATCAAAAAATACAAACAAATACAGGGTATTCTATTGAAAATAATAAAGTTGGTGTGGTCCCATAAAAATATTAAATTTTTTGTATTTAGGTCATTAAATTTGTCCCCTTACAAATTTTTTGTGACTCCAGTAGTTTCTGAGACAAGTATATGGCCCATCTTATAATTATCTCAGAAACAGAGATCTCTGTACAATTATTTATTGTTGTAGGTGTATTTGTATTTATTATATTTATCTGCAAAAAACGAATTTGGATGGAATTAAGAAAGAAACTGTATGTTCCAATTGCATTGAGAAAAATATCAGCCTCATCTTCTAAATCAACTGATTCGGAATATGTTAATGAAACACCCAATGTATCAAAAAAAGAACAAATCCACTTATCTAAATTGTAATTAACAATAAGATTTATATAATTTTTAGTCAATACAATGCTTTAACCTATTTTTATTATTATGCTACTAAACTATTATTTGTACATATATTATATGAAATGATATGATATATATTATATCTATTGTTATGAATTATAATAATAAATTATGTTCAATAACCCTGCAGACATCAACATCAAATATCATTTATAAACAGAAATTTAAAAAATTGATTTTATCTCTTATTTTTATATTGCAGCAATATCATAAAAATTTTCACACTGACTTTACCTAATTGGCTTTCTTATATTAATATGTTAATATTAATTTCTTAAAATGATCTACAATTCAAAAACCTTAGAATTCATCATAGAAGTTAACATATCCATCAATTATTTATAATTATGTTAATTTTAATCTAGTAAAAGCTTCTACAACAGAAAAAAACAAATGTTAATATTTCAATAAACCCGTGATGGATTACAATCACTGGGAATTGCAACAGGAAGCATTTTAATTTAATGCTTTTAAACATGCAAGATGTTATACACAGAAAAAAAAACAAATAGAAAATACCCAGTAGTTGCATTGATACAAATTCTTTAAAGAATAATGTTGAACCATTGGCGGCTCGTCAGGGGAAGCAAGCCTAGCCTCCTCAAGCATTTTAAACATTTTACTTATTTTATAACTAAATAGCTAACGCGTCTTAAAAAAATTTACAACACTTGCACTTTAGTAGCCTCCTTACTTTTTTTGACCACGAGCCGCCACTGGTGGAAAGTAATACTTTATTGTTGTCCTATATTACATAAGTCCTATAAATTCGGTTTAAAATGTATGTCTATTAATAAATAAATGCAAAATTTTGGCAAAAAACATATTTTATTTAAAAATTATAAGTGTGTTGTATTTTATTGGTGTTATTTTAATATAATGTAGGTTATAAGTTAAATTAAGTATAAAAATAAAATAATTGTGTTCAACAGTGTAAAGTATGGAACTATTATACTAACAAGGCCATAAAAGGTTAATAAATGCAAAATTTTAAGTAGGTAATTTGTTATGTATAAATTTTATGTTAAAATAAAAAATCTATAAAACTTGTTTTAACTTTTTTTAAATGTTTACTATTCAAACTTCCAGGTGGTATATTTCAATAGTCAGCTACTTTTTATAGAAAAAACATTTTAAAGAAAACACTCAACCCTTAGGTACAAACAAAACAGAAGTGCTTAATTTATTATGGGCATTTATAGGGAATGAAGATATTTATTAATGACTTTCAGACTTGATGTTGATTGGCAAATACAGTGAATGATGATCACAAATTTTGAGTATATTTTTACGAATTTTGGACTTGCCATAAAGGATGTGTAAACATCTTGGCTGGTTTTCTAAATGTATGCCACGGTGCGAATTTTTCCTACCATTTTTTTAAATGTATCATACTGTGCAAATTTGTCCTACCTCTTTTAAAATTTTCAAGCCTTATTAATTTTATTTAAATGCTAAACAAATTTATTGTGTTCTTTAAATTTAAAGTATCAATAATTATAATAATTATAATTTTTATAATAATTATAATTTTTATAGATTAATAAAAAAATCAATTGAGTTAATTAAGTTTAACAATTAAATTTAAAAAAGTAAAAAAAAATCGCGTGTTATAGCGGGCGCCAACCTTGCAAGGAAAAGGAAGTTCAATTCAAATAGTTAAATACTGGTATTATTGAACAAACTGTATTTAAACTACATAACTACGTAGAAAATTTAATGTTTTAAGTAAACTTAATCTTTACTGGAGACATTTTTTTAGAAAACGAATCGCCAATCTATAAATGCATTTATAGCCCGAATAATATTTTTTATTTTCTTCAATTAACTCGCGCCCTTAAGTATAATCCCTAACTCCCTATCAGAGCCGAACCTTGTAAACGTCATTACCTCTATGTCCTATAACAAAACTACTTGGCGGGCACAACTTGCGTTACAAATAGTCGGCCGGCCGAGCTTTACGCATCTAAAATAAAACCTAGAGTGCGCAATGTGACAATGTTTTTGTTTATTGTAGTGGTATTGTTGCTATACAACGTTGCTACAGCCGCCGACCACGAAAAATGCTGTGCCTGGAAAAGTAGTCTGTACTTGAACAACGGTACCTTTGAGTGTAAAGTGGACAACAACACAAGATTAACTTTTTTGAGTGAAAAATATGACTACATCTCGAAAAATACAGATGGTTATTGTGTGGACGGTGCCAAAGACTTTACCCTGTACAACATCAAAAACAACGTGGTAACAGAGAGTAAAGTAATACGGGGATACTTCCCGAAATGCTGCCCTTTAAACTACAAGTACGACACAATCAAACATTCTTGTGTTTTCCAAAAGCAACAAAATCAACAGTTTATTGAATCGAACTACATAAAAATCGGTTTACCTCAGTGTCACTTTATTGTCGACCAAAAAATAAACTCAACAGAAGACTATAAAATCGAAGAGTATGGTATACACCTAAGACAAAATAATTTAAGAGTCAGAAAAGAGAATTATTGCGTAGACGAAACAAATGACAATAAGTTTACGGTAAGAGTTTGTCAGGAAAACGACGACATCTGTAAAACTACAAGATGCATACGAAAATGTTGCCCGGATGGTCAAAGTTTTGTTGGTGGAAAAAATTGCATGGATACGTACGATAAAGGAGTGGATTTGGCGCACAATCCCAACATTAAGGATCCAACAGGTACATCCTTACATACATTGAACATGTTTTAAATGTTGTTGTTTCTCAAAAGATTTAAAAAAAAAACTAGATATTTAATAATTTAAATATTTGTATGAAGCGACATCTATTCAAAATAAGAGTAACCAAAATTGGTGTTAGGAATCTGTTTTACCTGCTTTCAAAATGTCAGTGTCGAATTTTCGACTAAAAAATGGACTGACAATCTTTCAAACCCGCAGTTTTTCACAGTGAACGTGAAGAGGATATTTTTATGGGTACTCAACCTGAAATTAATAATACTTTGTCGGCAAATATTAGTTTGCTGCCGCGAAATCAAAAGGTCATTACAAAAGTGCATATTAACTTTTCATAGATCACAATGTGTATTTAGTGTCATAGAAACATGTGTAGTTTTAATTTATTCTAATCAGATTCTTTTTATATGGGTCATTATACTTTTTAGACCCATCAACCTTTAAAAAATAAATATTTCACATTTTCATATCCATTGTGACTATTATTTAGTCAAACTAAAGGTAATTCTAGAAATTTTTCACAATAAAAAATCTATTTTCCAAGTGACACAATAAATGCACATAAAATATTGCATTAATTAAAAAGAAAGAAATTAAATACTGAAAATACTAAAATACGAGTAAATGCCGTGACGAAAGATAACCTTCAAAAACACCCTGCTTGTTGGTAACGCGCAAAATAACAATAGCGATACCATTGCCTGCAGCGGCGCCATCTCGTGCCACAGTTATAAACTACGTGGGTTACAGGGTTCTTTTATATGTAATGCTAAACTCCAGTGTATTTTATAACAAAGCTGTTTTTATTAAGGCGGTTTGTGACGAAGTAGACATTAAATAGGTATAAGGACAAGGTTTGGTCAAGCTTAAAAAATTATTCACAGACATTTTACCACATTCTTTATTAGTACTGAAGAGCTAGGTACTTATTTGTTATTTCATTTAAGTTTAATAATTCTGTTTCATACAAAATCTATGAAATATACCTATCCAAGTTTTCACTATTGCAATATGATGGGGACATGGGGTTATAGAGTGTGATGCTAACTTTTAACCTTAAATAAGACATTATTAAAAATATTTATATATTTAATTGAAAAATGTTCTATTAATTTTTGTTATTTTAATTTCTTATTTATGAATCTAGTTCTATATTAGCTGTCTCAATTTATTATTTTTTAATAAGAAATGTTAGGGACAGCTGACAAATGGCAGAGAGCCTTAATAATATAATATCATATATGATCATATCGTCGGTCTCCTTACGTAGTGGCGTAACTAGCTTTTCACAAATTTTCCAATAGACGCAAAAAACGAAAATGGAGCATAATTATATCGGTGTCCAATTGTTACTACTGAAGGTGGCCCAAATTGATTTTTTTATCAAAATGTTCAACTATTCCAGCTTCTTTTAAGCATAAGATTTTTATTATTATCTGATTAGCTTGCAAGTATAAAACATGTTTATACAGATACGTCAATTTGTAAAAATATATTATTTTTATGTTTACACTTACGCCTATAAGATCGTGTAGGGAAAAAGTGATAGATTCATAATATTATACTTTTAAACCAGTTTATTGTGATAAATAATGAAATTAGCAAAAATGTTTTACAACGGCTAATAAAAAAAGGAAAAAAAAATATTCAATCTTAAAAAAAAATGCAAATTTTTTAAAACTGATTTTTTTTTAACAAAAAAAACAGCAATGAGTAAAAGAAGTTTTGAAGTTCGGGTGTGCGTATTACCGCTGTTTTGTTTTTGCCAGATGGTTTACAAAGAGCAGTTAAATCTTCATATTTTTTTCTGGAAATTTTAATTTGTTCTTTATTCAAATTATTAATAATTAGATGGCTTATTCCACCACGTTGTTTAAGCACAATTTTATCATAACTTTCTTCAGCGTGGCTATATTTAAAGAAAATGCTCATCGGTTCTTCTTTATTGACACTAATGTCCATAATCTCGGTCCATTTTAATGATCTGTTTTTCTCGCTGTGTCTTCGAAAATGTTTTGAAATTAAGAAAATCTCCAAAACTCATTGGAATAACAGTGTACGGCTTAGGTTGTGTTCTTGCACCTCGAATGACTGGGTATAGTTGTGATAGTACAAAGAGGTTACCAGAATGTGCAAGCGCGTAACCAATAGCACTGTGGGCGCTATCATCTTCGTTTTGTCCGTGATTGTTTTCGAAAAATTTTAAACTAATATCTTTAATTGTGTTGTATTTTTCCAACGAATACAGTAACATG